TTTCATTTCATGAATTGTGCATCTGTCATTTCTGTCTCTGTGTGTTTGTGTGTTTCTCGTTTTTGACAGCCAGAAGATTAGCCTTTCCAGAGAAAAAAGATCTCCAGATACTGAGAAACAACAAGTGAAAGCTATTTTCTGGGGCTTTCTTAGTTGCTGTCTGGACCCGTTTTAGAGCAGCCCAGAGTTCGGTGCATTGTTGTTGTGTTTGTGTGTGTTTGCATTTGTATGTGTGTTCCTTTCCTAACAGAGAGCAGGGAAATCAGTCCAGCCTGGTCTGGTTCTTTTGTTTTATCGAACAAGTGTTACAGGACAAAACAGAAGGGCCATATGATTTTTAAATTTGTGTTTCTGTTGAAGCCTTGTGGGTGGTTTTTGTTTTGTGTGGGTACGTGCCAAAGAAAACAGACAAAATGTTAGTAATGCTAAATTTTAAAGTATATCAATCTTTAAACTGTAGAATATAGTAGAATAGATTAAATTTTTCTGTTGTGTACTTGATTGTGTACGTAGTGTGAATTCCTAAAACACAAGCTTATTGTATTGAAAAATAGCAAGTACATTGCTTTTAGTAAAGCTAAATGATCAAATCAAGATATCAGGAATCAATTTTGTTATTGCCAAGTAGGTTTTTTTAGGCCTATTCTAGAATGTGACCTGTTGCAGTTGGTTGCATTAAAATATAACATTATACAAATACAAATATACAAAATATACAAATATTACAATTATTCAAATCACAAAAAAATCACACAGAAAATAAAGTTACTTTCAAAAAATAATAAAATAAGATTAAAAGATACAAAAGAGAAAGAGAAAGCTGTGTAGAAGAATGATGTTTGCATGTAGGGATGTAACGGTTATGAAAATTTAACTCCCGGATTATAGTGACCAAAAATTATCACGGTTTTTGGTATTATTTGCGGTTTATTTTTTGAAAAGTGTTTTCAATATGTTCAAGAAAGCACTGATAGCCTACACAAGCTGAAATAGTTTCAAAAAAGTGTAAACAGTGTTTATTTATATTACAAAACCTTATCAAAAAGATTCAAAATGTAAGAAACTATCTTCAATCAACTGTCCCTC